TAATTTTGAAACATTAAGCTGCCTTCATTTTTTTCTCTCTGTTTATGTTCCTTCATTTTTAATAGATTGATTTATTCGGCTTCCATTGATTGATGCATTTGGATGTATGTAATAATTTGAATTTTCATGGGCATCGTTTTTTAATATCATGTTAGTGCTGGGTTCTATGGGAAGAGCTAGTGAGGCGATGGAAACATACCAGCGTGTGATTGCGCTATTGGAATCTAGGAGCCAGGAGGGATGGGGAAAATGAGGAATTGATATTGCCGTTATTGGCACTGGGCAATCTTTTAATGAAGGAAGGAAGAGCATCGGATGCTGAAAGCACTTTCAATAGGTTAACATACTAATCGACTGAAAGGTGATCAGGTGGAATTCTAAGCGGACCAGCAGCTACTGAAAGGATACTAACCGACTGAAAGACGATCAGGGATAAATACACTGCCACTACAGTTGATGATGTTCTTACCAGTTTCCTTTATTTTTTTTGTTTTTGGAAATGATATTCTGACGAGTTACCAACTTACCATCCATTTGATGGAAATGATATTCTGGAAATTATTAAGAAATTTATGTAAGTGATGTGCATTCCTGTAGAATGTATAATGGATGTAATGTGCATTTGTGTTGAGAAATTTAGTTCAATTGAAATGTCAAGATGTTCTGCCTTCTGGTTTCATGCACCTTATGCTTAAATTGGTGAAAAGCTCCAACAAAAACAACATAGCATTGAACGAAATTTCTCAGCTTAAACTGTTGAAAAAATCAAGGCAATCTTCACAAACGATGAGCAAATGTCTTCACCATAATCAAGTCATAACATAAACATTAGGGAATGAAAATCACAGCAATCACCAATACATTAATTTCAGAAAATTGGCCAAGACAATTCAGACACACTTCAAGGCTCTGTACACCACCAAATACCAATATATATCAACACATTGAGAGGTTTTAATTGATCAACAAGCTGAATCATCATAGTGGACAATCTCCATTTATACTTCCTTTCCAGGCTCTTCTTCATCCATCTCCATTTCGACTTCCTTTCCAGGCTCAACAATTTCTTCTTCTTCTTCCACAGTCGACATCTTGCTCCTCCTTATAACTTCCTCAAGTGTCATTGGAGAGGGTATCCTCATCCTCGTCATCTGCAAAGTCTATAATCTCAACAACAACAAAATCATGCCAATCAATCATTGCCATCTGCAGCCGCTCCTACTCAATCTCATCTTCAGCTTTCTGCCTCGCCTGCTCTGAATTGGGGGCTTAAAAATCTGAAATGTGAAAAAATAAACTCACAAATCTGAAAGCTTTAAGATCATGTATATAATTTCAAAAATTGCAAACATGTAAATAACATAAAAAGGAAAAATCCATTTTGCCATACAATTAAACCACATTAAGCAAGAATAAGTGCAAATGATCAGAATTTAAGCCACCATTAACAATGTAAATAACAATGGAAACGTGATTCATGATTACGGGTTTCGAAGTAGCTGTCCCGCTTAATGGCTTGATTTGGGGTTTTAAAGTAGCTGTCCCGCTAGTCCAGTCAAGATATTCTTCATCTCACCATCAATGAGGTAATCGAATGTAGGAAGTTTGACACCAGCAATAGTTTCAGTATGTGATCAGACTTTAAGGGCTGCACTCGAGACATTTTCATGGACGATGTGCTTGATGTTCTCATAAATTTTTTACAGCCAATAATCTTTTCACTGTATTTCTGACCTGGTGCTAGTGTATGTAACTGATGCAAGTGTGTGCAACTCATACATCCAGCAAAATATTCAAAACTCCAAGATTTTAACAAAATCTGACTAACAAAAAATCCCAAGCACTTAAAAGCATCACATTAAGGGAAAAAACAACGACAAGGATAATAAGATCGCAAACTTAGATCATATACATGAAAAAAAAATATTAATTAATGGCTATCAATATTAAAAATAGATAAAAATAACACCTTCAATTACTTAATTAGGGCTTTCAATGTTTAAGAAAATAATTCCCCAGATACGCCATTGACCTGCAGGTCACCCACCTCATCAAATGCTGCCGGAGAAGATGACGGTTGAAATTTTAGGTTTTTTGGCCCGACGTTGTTGAAATGCACTAACATTCAAATGAAATCACTGCCGGAGTAGGTGATGGTTGAAATTTTCGGGCGACATCGATTGATTCGCCTAAGGGTTTGGCGATTGATTTTGGGGAAATCTGATTTCTGTGAATGGAGACGAATTGGTTTTCTATTTCATTGGAGGAAGAGGAGTGTTTGTTTTGGCTGACTTAGAGTTGAGTTGGAACTCGACTTCACATTTGGAGACATTTAACTTGCCACGTCATTTTTCCATCCACCACGTAAGCAAGTCTACTAACGGATTCCATCCGATGAGTGATGGAGTAGGACGAATCAAAGTTCAGTGGCCAATGGGACGCTTCATAAAGTTCGGTGAGCAAGCCGTGACATGATGGAAAGTTCAGTGGCCACTCAAACATTTAACTCGCCTATGCTATATGCATTATAATACTTTTTTTTATTGACTTATAAATTAATTTCTCAAACTAATTGCATCAAAATATGAGAAACATTAAAAGTAACTTATAATCTATTTTTCAAAATTTAACATCAAAACTATTATACTTATCCGCCATTCATTTCTTTCGTATTATCATTTTTAGTAACATATAATCTATTATTCAATGATAATAAATATATATTTGTAAATTACTTAATTGTTTTCAACTAGACATGTCATTTCATTTGTACATCAT